GTAAAACAACATAAGTGATTTCACAGTTTAAGAACTAAGTTCAGTGTAAGAACTAAGTTTACCCTATCCCGTTTGAAAGAATCGTGTAGCAGTTTTATCCGAATCCGAATTGACGCAACTTCCTTTCAAAAACAACATGGTGGTGGTGTAAGACGAAAAAAGAAAATGCGTTTAGAAAAGTGTTATTTTTGTTCTTCCACCATCTACCCTGGTCACGGAATACAGTTTGTTCGTAACGATTGTAAGGTAGGTTGTTTTTGTCTCTGAATTTTTTGTTTAAGAGGGTTTTTATGGTAAGAAATGATGCGACAGAATCAACCGCACACGTGTTTGTCAATTAAAAAACCATTTATTTTCATCGACAGTTTTTATTTCGTTAAAATAACCTTATTATGGGACATTTATTTTGTTAAAATAACATAAATGATGCACTTGTTTAATTTCTCCTACTGAATTGATTGCATTCTCTTTATAGAAGTGGACAGACTTTCACCTATAGCCAGCTGATTACTCTGTAAAAAAAGCAGTTCAGTCGTTTCCTTCTAAAATTTGATTAATATAGAAATTATTTTTTTTCTTGTGATTCAATGTTTACATCTCTTCAAAGCCCAAATAATTTATTTTGAACTTATTCTAGATTTTTAGGTTCTGTCGGTCAAAATGTCATAAAGCATTTAAAAACAAGAGAAATCCACGAAAGGCCAAGTGGATAAAAGCTTTCAGAAAGGCTGCAGGGAAAGAGCTGGCTGTGGATCCATCGCTGGAATTCGAAAAACGCAGACATGTCCCCGTCAAATACAACATAGAACTGTGGCAGACAACGTGTAAGCATTGCTGTTCAGAGGATATGAATATGTTTTATTTATAACACAGAATAAAAAGTCATTCAATGTTTGAAATAAAATTCTTAACAATTAGTGAATTACCTATAAGCTGTGTTTTGACTAAATTTTACAAGTGAGTTTGATCTCAAGCTAATTAACATGTACATATGAATAAAAATGATGTCACTGACTTCACTCACATATAAAATATTCCTACGCAGGTATGTTAAGGATGCATATAAATCATTTTTCGGGAAAATTCAGACTTTTTAAAGGAAATTTAGTCTGATAATTTACAAAAACCGCTGATAAGCGTAAACTATTATTATTTATTGCATAAAGATAAAACAGTGTCTAATGCAACAACGTGCAGCACGGTCAGCACCACCACGGCATCACGTGACTTCTATTAATAGAGAAATTTTCCTTAATAAAAAAGCGAACAGAACAACAATACACCGGAGTTGAATGATTTCTTTGAGTAAATTATGAAGTAAAAAAACATCTATTTTGTCTAAAAAGTGCTGCTAGAATCCCACTGTCCCGTCAGTAAAATAATTATTCCACACATACGCACGAAACCTTACCCGATGTTTTGAATTTTTTATCTATGATTCGGGATTTTTCATAAAACCCTGCTTAACTCGGGATTCTAGCAGCACTTTCCAATTATTTTAGGATGCAAACTTTCCATCAGTACAAATTTTATGTTTTGAAATATACAGCTTATTGTTGTTCTATTGCATTGTTTTTGTCACAATCGACAGAGGAAAGGCCGACCGGTATACATATATAGCTTACTGCCTTTGAAAGAGAATATAATCGATGAATATGAATTAGCATACCTGTTTAACTAACTGAACTCCATATGAATTCACAAAATATTCACGATATTTGCTTTGAAACTCCATTTAACGTATCTTTATTCATGCCGTCATAGCCAAATTCTCTTTACACGACATGATGAATTCCCGATCAATTCTCAAGTTACTTGATGTACACATATGACGTCATCAATGGTAGATTTTAATCAAAATGACAGAATACATCATTACAAAATAGGAACATTTTATTTTTGTTAATGTTTACACGTATCTATTCATTTTCTACAGTTAAATTACATCTGTAAATAACAATTTTGCAAAAACTTGTGTTCTAAAATTGACGTCATCACGCCTACTATGACGTCATAATGTAGCACTGATTTGGTCAAGGTAAAATATTTTGTATGCTTCCTTATTCCCCCTGCGTAGGACATTTACAATTTATTTTAATGTACATTATTAGAATAGATATATTATTGATGTGAAAACAATGAAATGAAATGTTCAGTTTGAATTCTGCTGCTATTTTAACTAATGTTTACAAATAGTATATGAGGTAATCAACTGAATCATAATTTTGTGCTAAACATTTTTTCCCCAAAACTGTGTCCTTTGTCATTCTTTTTCTGGACTTAGATTATGTTGTTGTGTTTTCAGTCAAAGCAATGAAGAGAATAGAAGAGATACGAGTAAAAAGACAAAATCAATTCATTCTAAACAGGTAGGTAAACTTAAGGAATAAGGACCTTAGACAAGTATATAATGCATATTAATCACATTGACAACAAAATTTCTTTTTCAGATTAAATAAGGGCAAAGAACTCAGGAAAGAAGCGGACGTGAAGGAGGTTGAAACAAACATACACTTAATCAGAGCACCAGCGGGTTTGTTTTCTTTCCTTTATATATATTACAATGTAATTTCTTTAAAACTTGATGTAAAACTTTACATGATGCTTTTATTAGAATCAAAAAGGTGTCTTCAGCATTATGTATTAATTTAAAAGGATTGAAACGATTACAAATTCAGACAGTTGCTTTGAGAACAAGGCTGGTCTTGTATCATAGATACAAATTTTTGAGGACATAAGCACAGCAAATTGCATTTGGTGTGTATGATACAGAATCTGTCAATTTGTCTAAATATATGTGACACAATCAAACATAAAAAGCACCTCCCACTTCCAGCTGTGCAGTGTCCACAGTTAATATATTTTATGGACAACATAAAATTCAGTCAAATTAGACTTAAAATCAATCTTAATGAACAATTGATCCTAATACTGAAATATTTGAAATCTCATCTCAGCCAGTGTCTAAAATTCTCAGCTTACCTAGTACACAAATACAGGAGATACAGACAGATATTCCATGGACTTTGATGTTCCAGATTTAAATTTTCCAATTAAAAAGTGACATTAAAAACAAAGTGAAAGAGATGTGCGGCAATTATCAGAGATGAGGATTTAGGATGAAATTTTAAAAAGTAAAAAAAAACTAAAAAATATACCTAAACAAATTTGCGTAAGAGTGGAAAATGGAGGGGGGGTATTGAATTTAACTGAATTGATGCTGCAACCATGAACTCAGTGGTTTAACCATTTAAACAAAAAGAAACAGGGAAATTAACAGGTGTTGAAGATGTTTTCTGTTGCTGACAATTTTATCTTTTGTTTGGATCGAAACAACAAGTAGATTCCTGTGTGGAATAAGTTTTAAAAATGATTGAGAAAATTTGATATTTTACATTCCTATGGAAATACTAGGTTTTTCTGCAAAGTTCATAATTGGAAAAAAATCAGCATTTACTTTTTTGATAAGTTGAATTAAAATTATTTTTTGACTTCAGAGAAAAATACTGCTATCTTGTCACAACCTTATCTTATTGATTTCAAACCATGCGACTTTTAAAAATAAATCTCATTGATTTCTTATTTCTACAGCTCGAGCCAAGAAACTTGAGAAGAAGATGGTACAGGTGATACAGGAAGCAGATGATGAAGATATGGAAGAAGTTTAGGGATCCAAGGAAGGGGGATCTAACAGGAGTGGGGAGATCATTACTGTTCACTGACATTCTATAGAATGACAAACTGTTACGTGACCTTGATTGTTTTATTCTTCATCAAAATTGAGAAGTTTTCCTTTTTGTACTCATAACTGATGAAAGAACATTTTTATAAATCATTGGAATTGATGGTTTAAAACAGATAAAAAGATGTTGTCTGTTACCTTTTTAAAGGTAGCAATATTTAATAAATTTAAAAGGACGTTTCAGAAGTCATTTTTATTGGAATTTAAATTGGTATCAATTAACAAAAAGTAGTTATTAGTCATTGTAAATCAGTATTCATACTTGTGTATCCTAATTTATTGGGACAAAGTGGTGACAAGTGTGAAGCATGAGTCTCCTCCCCTTTATCCAATTAAATCAGGACACCAGAATAAATGTATATAGTAATTTGCTTGTATCATGACCAAATTGTCTTGTGACAGCCTTTGTTGCATGATTTTTTATGTGACCAGTAAAAAAAAAATTAGTTATTCTTAGGTGACCATGAGCAAATTCTCTCCTTCCTGTCAGTGTTTTCTAATACCCACATTTGTGATGTTGGATTACAGCTTATAAATTTGAATCCGATATTTACAAGATATAGGCTAGATTTTTTTTTCATACTACAAGAAGTTAATAATATCTTAGACCTTGGAAGAAATTGAAACTATTTTTGAAGAAATTAATTGAGAGGAAAATGGAACACAGACCCAAGGAATCCTATGAATTTGAAAGCTGGCAGCTGTGACGAAGGTGACCTATTGGTTTCTGTATTTTGTCCATTGTCTGTTTTGATCTAATAATTTAAAAATTAAACATTTTCAGCTTTTTTCTTGAACTACTGAACAAATGTCAACCAAATTCGGCATGTCATGTGGCATGAGTTGGTAAAGAGATCCCAAAATTTGTGAAATTCATGTTTTCTGCACCCTTGGGCCTAAAGAATGAGGTTAAGCCATCACATCACATTAGTGCTTTGTTTAAAATTTTCTTTATTCCAGGAAAAATCGTGTAAAATTACAACCCGTACCAAAATTGAAATTCATGGCCCAGGGTCAGGGATACAAAGGGTATATTTTTTAATACATTAATTGAGAGGATTTGGATTTGGACACAGACCCAAGGAATCCTATGAATTCGAAAGCTGGCAGGTGACCTATAGGTTTCTGTATTTTGTCCATTGTCCATATTGTTCTAATAATTTCAAATTAAACATTTTCAGCTTTTTCAAACTTGGAATTGGGGAATTTAAATGTTAAAATGAAGGGACATACCAAATTGGCATATAGTAAAAAATAGAAGAGTTGGTAAAGGAAACTTATGGAAAAATTTGTGCAATTTATTGTTCAAAACATTCCAGGGGAAGGGCCACAATGGGGCAAAGTTTTATAAAGAAATATAATGAAAAAGTTAAACCATCACATCACATTAGTGCTTTAATTAAATTTTCTTATTTATTCCAGCACATCCAGCAGTCAAAAAATTGCTTGTATGATTGATATAAGAATTAAACACTTTACCAAAATTATTAAATTCATGAAAAGCTGAAACTTAAGTTGAAGCTCTGGAAGAAAGGACAGGGCGGGGCCACTGGGGAAAAAGATTTATATAGAAATATATGCAAAAATATTTTAAAATCTTCTTCTCCAGAACCACTGGGCCAAATATGAAACTCATGTGGAAGCAGATAAATTAGATGCATGATTAATTGATTATGATGAGCAAGATGCATAATTTTACCAAATTCAACTTTTACATAGGAATAAAACACATCTTTTTAATTAAATCAACCTGTGAACCACTGGGCCAGGAAAGATGAAAACCATGTGGAATCATCCTCAGGTAGTGTAGATTCAAGTTTGTTCAAATCATGACCCCCGGGGCAAGGGTGGGGCCAAAATGGCCGACCAAAATTTTACATAGGGATGTATAGGGAAACCTTTTAAAATCTTCTTTTCAAGTTCTATAAAGCTATGATTAGTGATATTTATATGGAATCATCCTCAGGTAGTGTTTATTCTAATTTTTCAAATGATGGGTTCTGGAAGGGGATCCATTGGATTTCTAACAATCTATTGTGCTCATGGGTAGCGCTGTGCCCCTGGGCCGTTTTAAACAAGCCTATTTTTATATTCATATGAAGCAGACTTTGTGCAAAATTTTATGCGTTAAAAGAAGATAACGCTCACTTGCTATCATGCTATGTCCTTCAACTCGACATTTAGATATATCGACGACGTATTGTCAATTAACAATGATCAATTCCATTCCTACGTCGATACGATATATCCTGGTGAGATAAAAGATACCACAGAGTCTGACACATCTGTTTCATACTTGGATATTTTTTTTAATGGTAATCTAACAATCAAGCTATATGATAAACGTGATGACTTTAACAGTTCTATCGTCAACTTCCCTTACTTTAATGCAGCAATAAACCTTCATCACCTGCATACGGAGTTTATATATCTCAGTTGATTCGATATGCAAGAGCATGCTCTACGTATGAACAAATTCCTTAAACGAAGTAAATTATTGATGAAACAAGAATATCAATAGTGTTGTTTAAAGTTATTTCTTAAGTTCTTTGGTCGATACAATGACCTTGTCAACAAAAACATTTTATCAATGCTGACTGACGTTTTTTAAGTAATTGTTAGACCATTATTTATACCACAGGCACTTGTTTCTGTAATAAATTTTGTATAGTTCTATATCAACAATTAAAGAAAACACTTGATGTGGCCTTCAACTCGAGAGTTAGATATATCGACGACTTATAATTGGATTACAAGGGTTCGATAAATAATGATCTCATTCGTGAAATACCGGGTATACTTCTCGATCTTTTTCTCTATATATAGGATATGAACTAGACATATAGTTATGAACCTCTTTCAAAATTCTGAAATTTAGAGCTCCAGGATCAGAGGCTTTGGTGATAGAGTTGAACTCTAAAAATACATAAATTCTTTTAAAAGGGGTGAAAATGCACAATTTTTTACAAAACATCTTCATACTCTCTTCCTCTGTATATTTAGCAGATATACCAAGAACATGATTATGATGAATAAGGTTATCTCTCCAAAGCTGTGAATTTTGTGGCTTCGGGGTCGAGGCTTCTTGCATTTAGGAAGAGTTCCTATGTATGATCATGATCTTTTATATATACTGCTAAGGAAATTGTCTCCTGTGTATTAAACAAATGCATGTTTATTTAAATCCTCTTCCAAAATAGAAAGAACAAGTAAAGATACCTGGGAGGGAATAAAACAGGTATGTCTAATAGTCCTTTTGATAGTGACAAACAGTACAGGTACTAACATTACTGCATTAGATTTAATTTAACATTTGTTACTATTTGAAATTTTGAACAAATTTTAAGGAATTCCCAACACATCTGTTTTCTCAAACTTAAAAGTGGGGGGGGCTACATATATCTGTCACAATTCTTTGACTACAAAAAAGAAAAAAAGGCATCCTTTACAATGTTGTTTCATAATCAGGTAACCGTTTTATATACCTAAGTTTTCAAAATTATAAGGATAATTCTATATATTGCCAACCCTTCAACCCCCTTCCTTTGGTAAAGGGGATTGATAATTTGAATGCGCATTGTTGACTTTTTCTGTCCACTTTTTGTTTGAAACTTTGGTTACAGAAAAAAAAATTAAAAAAGAAATTCGGCTGTGAAAGCAAAATCCCGAAAAAAGGCATTATAACGCCTTTTGAAAAGGCGTTATTATATTTTCCTTTCCTATTTGAAAAACTTTCAGGTAATCAATTCAAGTACTTTTTCCTAGGTTGATCAACCTCCAACTTTTAAAAATAATAACCCTTTTAAAAGGCGTTATTACGCCTTTCCAAAAGGGTTTTAACTCTTTTTGAATAATTATTTCATTTAACAGGCCCGTGCTTTTAAAAATTTCCACCACCCCCACTCTGATCCCAAACTGAAAAAGGTGTGTTAGGTAAACATTTTTAAATGCAATAATTTTGTTTTATACACTGCAACAAAATGTTCAGAAACTAAGCACCAAATATTTAATTATAATATTTCAACTGTACAAAAGTATGTATGTGTGAAAGGGGGGCACCCCATTCGCACTCGTACTACTGGCCTACTTGAAAATGGAAAATGGAAATGCGTTATTTTATGTTAATAAATAAATGAAAGATTTAATTAAAACCATCTTTATTTATGCAATTCTCTATATTCCTGCACATCACACTGACAACTCTTTGCATGCATATTAAGAGAAGGCAACACGTACTCTACTTGTTAAGATACGATTTAGACAGATGTATCTTGGAGCTTTGCTTGCCATGGGTTAAAATTCATGTCATTTGAAGATATTTTTCTCTCTTCTTGGAAAAAAGTAGGCAAACTCTTTGCATAGGTATAATGAGCTATTGAAATCAATGATCCTTGGTAGAAGTGTGTCTGATATTAAAGAAGGATTTAGTTGGTTCAACATTGAAAATATATGACGCATTTAAAAATCTTTTTTTCTGGAAATCTAATTGTTATCTGTTTAAATTATTTTTTGAGAAATTAGTCCTACATCAAATTGTAAAATTAATGTCCCAAAGGTAAGATTTCTGCAACCCCCCACCCCTCGGTTGGGCTAAATATGTTAAATCATGTATTCAAAATAAATATTTTTGGAAAGGCGTAATAACGTCTTTTAAAAAGGCGTAATAACGTCTTTTAAAAAGGCGTAATAACGCCTTTTAGATAGGCGTAATAACGCCTTTTCAAAAGGCGTAAAACGCCTTCTCAAAAGGCGTAATAACGTCTTCTCAAAAGGCGTAATAACGCCTTTTAGAAAGGCGTAATAACACCTTATAGAAAGACGCCTTTTTTCGCGTTATTACGCCTTTTCGAAAGGCGTTATTACGCCTTTTAATTTTTTTCTCTCTAGAGATGTCCTAATAGGCTTTCGTATGATATCCATGGGCGAATATACAGGATATGTAATACGGGGGTATGACATGAAATAATATTAGTCATTTCACACTTTGAATGGTGGGGCCTAGGGGGCAAAGTCCCTGGAAGCTCCTGAGTTTTCGTGTAATTTAATAGTTAAACCAGAAACAAAAATAGTGGCACAATCAAAGTATGGCATTAATAAAAAATATCATACTTTAAAAATTTTAAGTGTGTGCAGGTTAATAGGTGATATCAAACCCCTGTCTAATGCCTAGGTCACATTTCCCGGCCGGTAGCCGTGGACCGGTGGTACATGTAATCGGTAGTAATCCGTGGTGTGAACATAACATCGGTCCACGTGTGCCCAGTCATCCTTAAAGTATCAGTCACATTATCCAATGTCACATCAAATGCGTTTTATGAGAAAAATGCTAAAACTTAAGCATAAAACGATCAAAAATATTCATTTGTCAAGAGAATATTGGTGAAATTTCTACATTTGAAAACACCAAAAAATTGATGATGATTCTGTCAAAATCTTTGAACACCAGAGAAAAACCTCAAAATATCTTTACGATGCTTGGCCATAAATATTTCTCAAAGATGTGTTATGATGTTGCCGATGAGGAGCGATGTGAGGCATCGTTTTGAATTTTAACTACAATTATTTAGACCCTAATTATATCCGATAACTAGTGGTGCCCGGCCGGGCCATTTTATCAAAAAACGCATCGGTTTCTTATGGTTACCCCATCGCTGGATAAAATTATACACAAAATTTCATCCTTAAAGTTGATTGACACACAGGTATGCTGAAATCAGAATCTCCGTCACAGCTATTTTAGAAATTACTTATTTTGATGAGATTTGGATTGACTAGAATTCTACAGTAAATTATATGTAAAAATAAAAGATTTTAAAATCAGCAAAATTAAATAATTAAAAATAGTTTGACAAAACTTACTTTGTGACTATGTGTAATTCAAGAAAAAAAAAATAAAAAGCTTTCAGATGTCAACACAAGGGGTAGCTTGTGAATTTTCTGTTGTTAAATGTGCTGAGAGAAACAGAAACGTCTAAACTTAAATTTATGACCCGAAATCCCTATCCTAAACTGGCAAACACAAGAGGTCTTGACAAAAATAATTACTATATTACATTACCATATTATACAAATATTACTTCAAGAGAAATGCTTACTCAGTTGTTGAAAATAAAAAAAATTGCCATAAAATGAGGTTTAATATTATTTAAACATAGTTGTGATTTATTTCTTCATTAAAAAGTGGAGGGGGCAGACATACTCTTGCCCCCCCCCCCCCTCAGATCTGAAAGTGTGGGGGCTAGTTAGTTATGAGTGACATACAGGGCTCCATCCATTACTATTTCATTCTCCTTGTCTGTTTCTTGGCTTTATTTTTTACTTAAAAAATCTACATGTTTAATTCTTTTTTTATTGTTCAGGATTGTCAGTAACAAGATCCAATAATGAACCCCCGTACCAGTGCCCAGGACGTGATGCGATGTGACCTGTGTGAGACCGCTGTGGTACAGATGCACTGTGATACATGTCTTGTCAAACTGTGTACAGCTTGTGTAGGAAAACACATGATATCTGATGAATCCAAGGACCACAAAGTCGTCAAATTTCAGGCCAGGAAATCTACTCTTATTTACCCTGGATGCATTTCTCATAACAAACAACAATGTATATTGTACTGTAATCAATGTGAACTTTCTGTTTGTACAGAGTGTCTTACATCAGATCAACATCTAGGTCATAAGTTTTCTGACATATTAAATGTTGTTAATGAAAAAAGGGACAAAATTATCAAAGAAAAAATTGAATTACGTGGTACAGTTTATCCAACCTTCCAGGACATTGCCTCTGATGGACAAAAGAGAATGAGTCAGTTAGAAAAGGAATATGGAGATCTCTCAACAGCCATAACAAAACATGGAGAGGACTGGCACAGAGAAATTGACATACTTGTCAAGAAACTAAAAGCTGAAGTTGATGAGATGAAAAACACACAGTTACAAACTCTACAGAAACATCTGGATGAAATAAACAAGACAATGTCTGACATCAAGGATGAGATAAATTCAGTGGAAACTGCAATAGACAGCAATGATTTGTCAAAACTGTTCAGTGTCACACCCATGGCCAGTGTAATTGATGTATTCAAAAGTCTGCCTGAAAAACTAGTACCAATCTTACCAAAATTTATTCCAGGAAAAATCCAAGAACTTGTTAAACAATTTGGATATTTATCATCAAGTTCAATAACAGCAGATAAACATGGCTACAGCATGAAGACAACACAAAAATCACCAGAAGCTGAATCCTCTCCTCCAGTCAAACAGCTGCTTGATGAACCAGAGACTGTCACCACCATAGACACTGGGTACGGAAACCTTTACCATGTGACCTGTCGAAGTGATGAAGAAATCTGGACAAGTGGAGATGAAAGCACCATGAAACTCTACAGCATCAATCAGGGATCACTACTCAAGTCAATCAAAACCAAGTCAGGGAATCAGCCATTTGACATAGCAGTGACAAAAAGTGGAGATCTGGTTTATACTGATTACAATAATACTAGTAGAACTTTGAACATTGTGAAGAATGAGAAGATAGAGGAGGTGATCAGACTACAGAACTGGAAACCTCGCGGTGTCTGTATTACCTCCTCTGGTGACCTTCTGGTTACCATGTACAGTGATGATAAAAAACAAACAAAAGTTGTCCGTTACTCTGGCTCCACAGAGAAACAAAACAGTCAGTTTGATGATAAAGGTAAACCTCTCTATTCATCTTGCTATTATAACACATTATATGTAACTGAGAACAGGAACCTGGATATCTGTGTGGTTGACAATGAAGCTAAAGCAGTAGTGGTGGTCAATCAGGCCGGGAAACTGAGATTCAGGTACACTGGACATACTCCTGCTCCAAAGAACAAACCATTTGATCCACTAGGAATCACCACAGACAGTCAGAGTCACATCCTTACAGTTGATTATTACAATGAATATGTACACATCATAGACCAGGATGGACAGTTCCTCTGTTACATAGAGTGTGGACTGAGTGTTCCCTGGGGACTGTGTATTGATACAACTGACAATCTGTTTGTTGCTCAGTGTAGAAACAGAAAAGTAAAGAAAATAAAATATCTGAAGTGAAATACATCGCTGTGTAGCATATAATTGCCATATACATAATCATAAATCAGCAAATGCACACAGTATTTCTGATGTTTTAAGATACTGAAGAATGGAAGCCTTAACTGCACATGTATTTCTTTTTATCTGTCTATAAGACTTTAATACTACATGTATGTATCTGAAGGACACACAAGTAAAATGAGGATTGCATGAAAACAATGTGTATTGTCTTTTGAGTCTTATTTTCACTGCAGCCAGATTTATTTCCATGAAGTCTAACATATTATTACGTAAAACCATGAAATAATGTGTAAGTAAGATGACAAACCAGTTAACTGAGTATTATGAGTATATTATGAGTTTCCACATACTTTCGAATAGATAATTATGTCACAATATGGTACAATGTTGTAAGACACTGTAAACATTTCATCAGGCTTTCTGTACATGTACACTTTTTCATTTGAAAAATATTTAGTGACACTCAAAAGGTTTTAATTGTCAAAAATTCTAAAAGCATCTGCAAAGCAAATTTCGTCAAATGACCAAAAGTTTTATGTTATCCAATATGACAGTTCAATGTAAAAATCCGGATGCAACAGTTTTTCTAAAATGAAAAGTTAGAAATACATGTCCACAGGATTTGAATGGCCACCCAAATGCAAATGTATACTGCAGCATGAAAAGAAATATACAGAATTAATTTGTCTAATCTGATTTTGGAGTACTCTGGAAATTTTGTTCATTAAGGAAAAATTGGTATTTGACATGTCAAACCAGTGCTTCATTGGAAGCATATGATTCCATTTCTATATATATCATGTGAGTTTTAAGCCTCAAGTTTTTCCGGTGAAAAAGAAAAATGAGAGGTACATAGGTCATACTACTCATCTGAGAAAGAAAGGCGAATTTGTTCTTCACCAACAGATTATTTTTCCCACAAATTCTATGTAAAACTTTATCACATATTACTGCCCAAAAGGAAGAACTTATTATTTCCATATTTTGCATATGTATGTTTTGCGACAAAGTGGTGACAAGTACAAAGGGAAGTCTCCTTTCATGCAATTAAATCAGGACTCCAGAATAAATATTTAATAAGTTAAACTTGCTTGTATCATGACTAAATTGTCTTTGTGCCAGCCTTTGTTGCATGATTTTTATGAGACCCGTAAAAAATTAGTTATTCTTAGGTGACCATAAGTAAATTAATTCTTTCCTTCCTGTCAGCGTTTTCTAATACCTACATTGGTGAATTAAGCTTATAAATTTTAAATCCAATATTTACAAGATTTAGGCTAGATTTTTTTCATACTAGTGGAAGTTAATAATACATTTGTATCTTTGACCCTAGTATATTTTTGAAGAAATTAATTGAAAGGAAGACATGGTTTTGGACATGACCCAAGGAATCCTATTATTGGAAAGCTGGCAGGTTAATTTCAAATTAAACATTTTCAGTTTTTTTGTTTGAGCTGCTGAACAAATGTCAACCAAATTTGGCATCTAATATTGTAGCATGAGTTGGTAAAGGGATCCCGAGAGCAATTTATGTTTTCTGCACCCTAGGGCCTAAAGACTGAGGTGAAACCATCACATCTCATTAGTGCCTTGTTTAAAATTTTCTTCTTTATTCCAGGACATCCAGCAGTCAATTTAAATGCATGGTTATTATAAGCATTTGACGACTTTACCAAAATTATGAAATCCATTGCCCAGGGCCTGGACTCTGAAGGAAGGCCAGATCTTAAAAGATCATACAGTAAAAAAACATAAAAATATTTTAAAAACACATCTTTTCAGAAATATACGAGGGTGTCCCGTAAAATCGTGGACAACGCGTTTCTCTCGAAAAGTAATGGACGCACTAAGTGAAAATTTCATTAAATGTTTATTTATCAATTGAAGTGGATGATAATTTTTTTGATAAAATATAGGCAAAAATAAAGATTTTATTATGCGTGAATGTGCACGGGGTATTGTGCTAATTTTTTGCACAAAAAAAACCAAGGTTTTATTAAAGCCATATATGGCGTATGTACAATGAAAATTATTAGACTAAAATTATAAGAACTTATTATTTGTATCATTACTTTATATAAAGATATAACTTTTCCGTAAATTACAAAATCTAAGTCAATTGCGTTATAAAGATATCACAATTTAAATTTGATTCTCGGAATTTACTCCGTATCGGAAGAAAATACAAAAGATTTAAATAACACATTACAGAGAAGATAAAATTGTATATTTAGATGAGACGAGGTGTTCTCCGTGTTCAGAGTTATATGAAAAGTTTTAATTTTGAATGTATTAACCATATTTCTTTACTTATTTTTGTATTTTTCAAAAATATATTTTTTGATCAGTTACGCCATATATGGCTTTAAAGAATACACAAGTTTGAATTCATAATAAAAGTTTTAATACATAAGATTTGGATTAAAATTATCCAATTCAATTCTACAATCAATTTTGTAGTTTTTGTAAAAATTTTAAGGCATTTGGCTAATTTTTGGCGGTTTCTCGAGCATTCGAAATGGGAAAGTGGTA